GGGGGGACCCGCCATTTTTAAAACCCCGCTGGTTCGAACCCCGTGCAGTGCGGCTACACGGGGCATAAAGTAGGTAGTTCGAACTAGGCTTCCTAGTTTGAACTACCGTTACTCCTCATTCCACGAGGAGTAACGGTAGTTCGAACTAGGAAGCCTAGTTCGAACTACCTAGTTCGTGCCACGTGTAGCCGCGCGGCACGGGGTTCGAACCAGCAGGGATTTAAAAATGGCGGCGCCCCGCTTATGCAAATGAAGCCCGGGAAATTCAAATCCCGGGCTTCATTTGCAATTGCGGTATGCCTACATTACCCTCCTATTTCGAAATAGGAGGGTAGTGTAGACATACCCACAGACATTATACAATCATATGACTAGTGTACATAGGATCAACAGACAGTAAGCTCCTATTCAATACCTCACCCCCTTCTATACCATTTTTGGGGCCAACACCCCCACCTATGGGTGCATCAGTGATCTGGCTGCTCCCCTCAAGATCCAGTAATGTGACACCACCTCATATGTAATGATATGAATATTGACATTTTCTATCCTTTCAGAGATGTGCACTGGAAGGTACTTTGGCTGAGACCCAGGGTTACTATACTCTTGAGCTCCAGAATATACAACAATTCATCTCCAAATGTGAGGAAGAGCTGAGCCAACTCCGTCAAGACATCAAGTGCCAGAACAATCAGTACAAGATCCTCCTTGGGATCAAAACCCGCCTGGAAAAGGAGATTTCGACTTATCGTCAGCTCCTGGAGGGAAAAGTTTGTGGGTAAGACAAAGCTAGCCTGATTTGGGTAGAGGAAACAGAGATCATTATGTTTATGTGACATATTTATTTATGTTTAATCAGTACTTGTGTGCATCATGAAGATGGTACAGGTTGAACTTCCCTAGTCCGGCAGTCTCTGGTCTGGCAACATCTGTGGTCTGACATGATTTTATTTAGCCAGATGTCCACTGATCGTGGGTGTAGTCAAGTTTCCTGCAGTCCCATAAAGTGTGTTTAAAGACACCTGTCTTGGTTCTGAGAGTCCTGTGCTGTTATCTAGTTCTAATTTACCCCTAAATGTCTTCTAAAAGCTCAGCAAGCAGTAGAAATGTTGGTAATGCTGCTAGATAATTTTGACCTTCCATGATTCAGAAAATTCTCTGGTTCAGCACCGGTCAGGTCCCAAGAGTGCCTGAGAAGAGGTTCAACCTGTAGAAAACTATGGTATTTTTGTGTGTATGGACCATAATAAAACGCACATGTCCCAAGAGTGCCTGAGAAGAGGTTCAACCTGTAGAAAACTATGGCATTTTTGTGTGAATGGACCATAATAAAACGCACGAGACACATGCTGCTCAGTAAAATTTGCATCAATAGTACTTTGATTAGCTACATGTATTTAACAAATGCCTGTATGTATTGCTCTAAAAGTGGCGAGGAGTCCTGTGGCACATTATAGACTAACTGAAGTGCATGCATCTGACGAAGTGGGTCTTTGCTCATGAAAGCTTATGCTCCAACACTTCAGTTAGTCTATAAGGTGCCACAGGACTCCTCGCCACTTTTGCAGATTCAGACTAACATGGCTACCCCTCTGTATTGCTCTAGTGACTGATAACTGGGATACTTGAATTATTAAATTTGTCTGTGTATAGTAACTTCCATCTCAGGCACTCAGAGCATTTTAGAAATGTATAAAAAATAAATTCACAATGTTCATGTAAGGTAAATTCATTTAATTGACTCTATTTTATAGGCACGGACATTTATTTCCAGCTTAATTTGTTACCTAAAAAGAAAAAAGGAGATATGTTTGTGTAGGTTTTGTCTAATCATCCAAATTCATAATTTCCTCCATAACGTATCTCTGAAGTTTTACACACACAGACACACACACACTGTCTAATCCAGGGATGGGCAAAACAGTGTCCATGGGTGTTAGACATCAGCCTTGGGACCCAGGAGTTGTAGGTTCAAGTCCCAGCCCCCCTCCACACCCACTCAGGGAGTGGTTGGGCACCAGAGAGAACTGTATATCCCTAGTGTGGGGGAGGAGACTTTGCATGCTCTCGCTGCCCCCAGATCCTGAGGGAACTGTGTGCTCCTGATGGAATGGGGAGCAAGAGATTTTGTCCACTTTCCCACCAGCTGGAAGGGGAGGCACTTCCCAAACTAAAGGGAAAGTCTTTGGCCCTCTCTTGATATAGCTGCCTCTCCCCACAGGTGCCTCTCCCCACTGCAGTAGGACTGTGCACCTTGGGTCCCTGGAGGGAGTCTGTCTAGGAAGAGAGAGAATAAGGTCCTTCTACCTTCCCCCACCACACACACACCCATCAGTTTTTCTTTCTTTCTTGTTAGGGAGGCAAAGACTTCACGCGCGGGCCGCTTTCCCCCCGACTGGCCAGGGGGTATGGGGAAGTACACAAAGTCTCCTCATGCCACCAAGGGCATGCAGCAGCTAGAGGGAACCACCAGCTGTTCAAAACAGCTAGTGGTTCCCTCTTGGTGCCAAGTGCCCCAACAGGATGGGGGTCAAAGACATCATGCACTCCCCACCCTCAGGCCAATCAAGTCTCTTGGCCCTGCCCCTTCTGCCCGAGGCCCCGCCTCTTCCAGGGCGGCTCCTGACCACTTCCAAAATTCACAAAGTGGCCCCCCTTCAAAAATTATTGCCCACTCCTGATCTAATCCATTCCTCTTTGACTTCTATGAATCTCTGCATTTGGAAACCTCTTAGTTTGGGCTGTCAATTAAAATACACATTTTGCTTCAAATTCATAAAATCTGGGAATTAAAAAATCAGATGAAGGAAGATTATAAATTACTATTTGACAACGTTGCTACTTAAACTCCCAGCAAACACTTTTCCTCCAAATATTGAACTTTGTACCAGAAACCACAATGGGTCCAACTCTAACCATTTAAACAACATGATGAAATATACACTTTTCCTCAAAAGTAAAAAACAAAGAGGGGAATTCAAGTTAAAAGTGGGTGGCCCCAAGGTTAATGAAGAGCAAAAACCCTTGTGATAAAAATACATGCTCAGTTTTTGTTTTTCCCCTTTAGATATCTGTAAAATGGTCATCTAGATCTTGGTGGTGCTTGGTACTGTCATGAGGGCAGGGGACTAGACTTGATGATCTCTCAAGATACTTTCCACTTCTAGTAATCTATGATTCTATGATTCTGTATTAAAAATACCATTGGTGCATATATGAATGGATACTTGAACTGAGAATATTCATTTATTTTATCTTTATTTTATTATCTTTACAGTATAACAGAAAACTCTGAATCAAGCATTAAAGGTAAAAATCACATATTTTGTTCTCTATAGTAAATAATAATCACATTTGCTGTGGGTGAAATTTATTCTTGGGTGGAGGGTCTGTGCAAAGCTTACATATAAGGCCTAGGTAAGCCATATTTTGATATTGTGCTTATCTGATTAAGTGGATTTTGACCACGAAAATTCATGATACTATATATATTTTTGTTAGTCTCGAAGGGTATGTCTAGACTACATGCCTCTGTCATCAGTGGCAAGTAGATTAGGCTACCTGGCATGGGGAAATGAAGTCGCAATTTAAATAATCGCGGCTTCATTTAAATTAAAATGGTTGCCGTGCTCTGCCGACCAGCTGATGATCAGCTGTTTGTCAGCAGATCGGGGCAGTCTAGACGTGCTGCAGTCGACAAGGAAGCCTTTGTTGACTGGCACAGGTAAACCTGGTTTCACGAGGCATACCTGCACTGGTCAACAAAGGCTTCCTTGTTGACCGCGGCGCGTCTAAACTGCCCGGATCTGCCGACAAACAGCTGATCATCAGCTGGTTAGCAGAGCGTGGCAGCCATTTTAATTTAAATGAAGCCGCAATTATTTAAATCGCAGCTTCATTTCCCTATGCTGGGTAGCCTAATCTACATGACTCTGACAACGGAGGCATGTAGTCTAGAGATACCCTAAGAATATGTTTACTCTGCATAGCTATTTCAAATTAGGTATTTCTGAATAATTATTCCAAAATGCTTATTTGAAATAGCACATCCAGGGTGTGTCCAGACTACAGGGTTTTGTCAACAAAAGTGGACTTTTGTCAACAAAACTCTACCTGCATCTACACTACCGCCGAGTTCTGTCAACAGTAAGTCAACAGAATGCAGCAGTTTTGTCGATGGTGGTAAACCTCATTCTATGAGGAATAACACCTTTTGTCGACTGAGTTCGGTCCACACTGTCAACAAAAGGTGCTATTGCATCCACACAAAAGGTGCGATTACATCCACACTGTCTAGACTCTCTGTCGAAAAAGTAGCTTGCTTTGTCGACAGAACTGGCTGTAGTCTAGACGCTCTTTGTTGACAGAGGCTTTGTCGACAGTATCTGCCAACAAAGCCTCTGTCAACAAAAGCCTGTAGTCTAGATGTACCCCTACACTTCAGGGAAGCCTCAAAATTAGTCCAAGGCAGAATTCTCTAATGTGGACATGCTATCGCGATTTAGAACCTGAGGATGCACTGGAGAGGAATAACTTAGAAAAGCCCTGGTGAGGGGCTATTTCAAAATAGCAGCAGTAGAGCATCTACACACTAGCATTATTTCAAAATAGCTATTTCAGAATAGGTGTTATTTCTCAAAGAATGAGGTTTACAGGTTTCAGAATAAGCCATCAGTTATTTTGAAATTATTTTGAAATAATGGAATGACTGTGTAGAAGCTCGCATTATTTCAAAATACACTAGTTATCTTGAAAAAATGGTGCAGTGTAGACTAAGGTGCCAAAGGGCTACTCATTTTTAAAGTTACAGACTAACATGGCTACCCCTCTGAGACATTAATTTATGTGATAATTGAAAAGTGGATTATCTGGATGTGTCTATCATCATTCCACTCTGCATATAGAAAAAATCTGCCTTTGTGAATTGGTGCCAAATACTCAATATGCAAACACCAAGTGGTTGTGTTTTTCAAAAAAGGTATATACTAATTTTTGTAAGAGCAAAGAGCTGTATCCACAGACTAGAAACTTATGCTGTCAATTCAGCTCTAGCAGGGTCAGAAACCAGCATTAGAGATTGACAATCAATTTGCACCATATTTCAATGTCAATGTAAACATACAGAACATTGCCATTTCAACCCACAGGTGAAACACACAAAGCTTTTGAATAATTGCACAAGAGAAAAATTCTAGTATTCACATGATATACCATAAACCTATTTATAAACTATGCTACCCCAGAAAACTTCTTCAAGGTGAGGCCAGATCAGGGGCAGTGAACATATAGTACTAAATTTTCAGCTGGTATAAACCATAATAGTATCAATTACTTCAAAAGAACTATGACAATTTACAATATCTGTTGATCTGGTCCATAAACTATGTACAAAAATAAATTACCCCCCTGCTTGATTTATTTTCAACATTCCCTCTTGCCTCACAAATCTCTTATTTACTTCTCTTCAGAACATGCTAGAACAACCAGTCGAAAGATTAAAACAATCATGGAGGACAGCGTGAATGGACAGGTGGTGAACTCCACTGTAAATGAAATTGACCAGCAGATCTGAAGCAAGGAACATAGTAGGTCTTAGCTCTATCAATGGCCTCATATTTGACGTTGGGCAAATCTCTTCCATGTTTTGTGTTTCAGTTTCTCCATGTGAAAAATCAAGGAGAGTCATCCTGATCTCCTTTCTAAAGCTCTTTGAAAGCCACAGATGAAAAGTTTTATATAAGAGCTAAATGGAAGTATCTTGTTTTTAAAGAAAAGTTCTTTTATGCACCAAGACATGGAAGAAAAGCTAGTCAATGAAAATAACTCCGCAATGGTACTGAATGTGGTATACATTTCTCACCAAGGCCATGAATCTGCCTTCTATAATTGACATATTGTTTTCCAAACTGACTGTAACCAATGTGAATTTAATAATTTTCTACCTTCACTATCAGTCTGTTTCTTTTTATCTTTAACAATAAACGCTAATAAAATACTTCTGCTGGTAGTTGCTTTTTTACATTTAAAAATGGGGGGCAGCACATCCATGAAGCTTGAAAACCTTGTGGCTGCGTCTAGATTGGCATGATTTTCCAGAAATGCTTTTAACGGAAAAACTTTCCGTTAAAAGCATTTTTGAAACAGAGCGTCTAGATTGGCACGGATGCTTTTTCGCAAAAGCACTTTTTGCAGAAAAGCGTCCCTGGCCAATCTAGACGCGCTTTTCCGCAAAAAAGCCCCGATCGCCATTTTCACGATCGGGGCTTTTTTGTGGAAAAAAAAGCTGAGCTGTCTACACTGGCCCTTTTGCGCAAAAGGGACTTTTGCCTGAACAGGAGCAGAATAGTATTTCTGCAAGAAGCACTGATTTCTTACAGTAGGAAGTCAGTGCTTTTGCGGAAATTCAAGTAGCCAGTGTAGACAGCTGGCAAGTTTTTCCAGAAAAGCGGCTGATTTTCTGGAAAAACTGGCCAGTCTAGACCCAGCCTGTGTGTCTTGGGCAAGCATGGGTCTGGATAGTAACATAATATATAATAATAACCAAAGAAAAGAGTTGACACAGTTCATTAAATCCTACACTTGCCATTTTTTTGAACAAGGTGTATTAGCCATTTTCTGTGTACAATTTTTAAATGTCAGGTTTTAAAGATATTATTTTACCATTATTTTAAAGTATATTTTAATGAAATGCCTATTCTGGAAATGTGTATTTTCCCTTGAAATTCAACTGTAGAGAAACCTGCCTCTCAAATCCTTCCTCTGTCAAAATAATTAAATTCCTCTTTTTCATTTCTAGTTGAGTCAGTTAATCCAGATATCTCTCAGTCTCCATCTTTGAATTCCTGAATTTTCTCTGAGATCTGATTAATCACTTGACTGTTTGTCTTCCTAACAGAAGCTCATAGCCCATGTGAATGAGAAATGAAGAGTTTGGGTGTTTGATTGCCAAAAACTGGCACATTTTCAGCTTTGAGGTTTTCATTTTTTCCCCCAAAAAAATAAAATGTTGAAAAAAAATGTTGTTGAAAACAAAATCCTAATTCTCATCACATATTTTGCATGAAAAAAATTATTTCTCAACAAATTCTAGTAAAAAGGAGCTTCAGGGGGTAGCAGAAAGGAGAAAGACAGCCTGACAGACACAATGAACAATCTGAATAGCAGCAGAAATAAATAGCAGTTCTAGATACTCAGTCAGCATGTCTAAAATTCAGCTCAACAATCTCTGTGATCAAGACCTGCAGTTAGGAACATAAGAACAGCCACACTGGGTCAGACCAAAAGTCCAGCTAGCCCAGTATCCTGTCTTTTGACAATAGCCAATGCCAGATGCCCCAGAGGGAGTGAACAGAATAGGGAATCTTCAAGAAATCCCTCTCCTGTCACCCATTCCCAGCCTCTGACAGAGGCTACGGACACCATTCCTTACCCATCCTGGCAAATAGCCATTGATGGACCTAACGTCCATGCATTTATCTAGTTCTTTCTTGAATCCTGTTAAAGTCTGAGTCTTCACAACTTCCACTGGTAAAGGGTTCCCAGTCTGTGTGAAGAAAAAGTTCCTTTTGTTTGTTTTAAGTCTGATACCTATTAATTTCCTTTTGTGACCCCTAGTTCTTACATTATGGGAACAAGTAAGTAACTTTTCCTTATTCACTTTCTCCACACCTTTCAAGATTTTATAGCCCTCTATCATATCCCTCCTTAGTCTCCTTTTTTCTAAGCTGAAAAGCCCCAGTCTTTTTAATCTCTCTTCATATGAGACCCATTCCAAACCCCTATTCATTTTTGTTGCCTTTTTCTGAAATTTTTCCAATGCCAATGTATCTTTTTTGAGATGAGGCAACCACATCTGTACACAGTATTGAAGATGTGGGCATACTATGGTTTTATATAAAGTCAATATGATATTCTCTGTCTTATTTGCTATCCCTTTTTAAATGATTCCTAACATTGTTTGCTTTTTTGACTGCTGCTGCACATTGAGTGGATGTTTTCAGAGAACGGTCCACTATGACCCCAAGATCTCTCTCTTGAGTAGTTACAACTAAATTAGTCCCCATTATACTATATGCATAGTTGGGATTATTTTTTCCGATGTGCATTACTTTACATTTACCAACATTAAATTTCATTTGCCATTTTGTTGCCCAATCACTCAGTTTTGTGAGATCTTTTTAAAGCTCTTCACAGTCTGCTTTGGTATTAACGATCATCTGCAAATTTTGCCACTTCACTAGTTTACTCCTTTCTCCAGGTAATTTATAAATAGATTGAATAGGACTAGTCCCAGTACAGACCCTTGAGGGACACCACCAGTTACCTCTCTCCATTTGGAAAACTTACCATTTATTTCTACCCTTTGTTTACTGTCCTTTAACCGGTTATCAATCTATGAAAGGACTTTCCCTCTTATACCATGAGAAGTTACTTTACTTAAGATTGGTGAGGGACCTTGTCAAAGACTTTTTGGAAATCTAAGTTCTGGATCTATCTACTGGATCCCCCTTGTCCACATGTTTGTTGACCCCCTCAAAGAACTCTAGTAGATTAGTAAGGCATAATTTCCTTTTACAGAAACCACATTGACTTCTCCCTAACAAATTATGTTAATCCATATGTCTGACAATTTTATTCTTTATTATAGCTTCAACTAATTTACGTAGTATTGACGTTAGACTTACCGGTCTGTAATTGCCAGGATCACCTCTAGAGCCCTTTCTAATTAATGGTGTCACATTAACTATATTCCAGTCATCAGGTACAGAGGCTGATCTAAAGGATAGGTTACAAACCAGAGTTAATAATTCTGCAATTTCACATTTGAGTTATTTCAGAACTCTTGGGTGAATGCCATCTGGTCCCTGTGACTTGTTATAGTAAGGTTTATCAATTTTTTTCCAAAACTTCCTCTAACACACCTCAGTCTGGGACAATTCCTCATTTCCTCCCCATTTTTCACATTAGCACATTCATCAACTCATGGGAAAGTCCTGACAGTGATAGAATAAATACCAGTGAAGTAAAATAAATGGAGCCTCTTAGCAAACAGAATCAACACAAGTGGATATTTTGGCAGAGAGAACTGGAAAATGAAGCAACTGAGGACAGACAATGTGGTGGAGTTTGAGCAATTGCATGTGATTTGTACTCCCCAGCAAACATATGCACAATAGGCAAAACAGTTTTGGTCTGACCAGTCTTATGTCAATGGGAGAAAACGACATTGTGTTCCTTCCTGAGCTATTAAGGATTTTAATATTATTTTGTTGGTCTGCACTGAAACAAGAATCACAAAAGAGGATGAAAGTCTCAAAGACTCAAGAAAAATGTACACAAAATCCCCCATGATTCAACCCTTTCTTACTGGCAAGTTGGGACAAGAGCCTAGAATGAATTACTTAATGTTTTGTCTAAATTGGGTAAAACTGGTAATACTAGATAGGTGACTAGGTTAATAGAAGTTGTACTTCCTTAGTGATCAGCAGCTTCAACCAGCCAGACCTGTTACTTAAAGTATCTGGGCTAGAATGACATAGCTGACTGTAAACAAAGATTTGGGATTCTCCCTCTGCCCCTTCTGAATCCTATCATAGAATTAAAGGATTATAAGAAACCTTGAGATGCCATCAAGGCCAGTACCCTGCACTCATGACAGGACCAAGCACTATCTAGATCAGGAGCGGGAAAGAAATGGCCCACAGGCTGGATTTCACCTGGCAAGCCTTCAAATCCAGTCCATGGTCCATCCTGTCGGGACCCTCAGACAGGGAGCATCCCCAAGCTGCTCAAAGCTCAGAAATTGTACTGGGGATGGGGGCAGCACACAGAGCTCCTCTCCCTCCTCCCTCCACCCAGCATATAGTGCAGAAGGCACATCAGCCGCTTCAGAGGTCTGGACCTATGGCAGGCAGGGAGATGGCTTGATGATCCGGCTGGACTGCTCGACAGGAGCTGTCTGGGTGAGCGCCTCCTGGACAGAGCCTACCTTTGACATCCCAGCCTCCCAAGGTCACTACTCAGACCTTCTGCCCTCTCTCCTAGGTCACAACCCCATACCAAATCCTACACCCTCTTCTGCACCCATGCCCCCTCTGAGACCTTGCACCCCAATTCCCTATCCGAGCTCCCTTTTTTGCACAACCTCCATCCCACACTCTGAATCCCCTTCATAGAAAACTGTAGCCCATGGCAACTTACCAACATTTTGTAGCCCCGCCCCCCGAAATTATGCCCATCCTTGATCTAGATCACCCCTGACACGTGTCTGTCTAACCTGCTTTTAAAAATCTCCAATGATGGAGATTCCACAATTTTGCTAGGCAATTTATTCCAGTGTTTAGCCACCCTGAGAATGAGGAATATTTTCCTCATTCCTTCGGTTTAACTGGTAATTCAAAGTAAGGATGTAGACGCGGGCAGTTATTCCGGTCTAGTCAATTTCCAAAATGGCGACCGGCCGGGAACATGCTAATGAAGCGCGGGATATTTAAATCCCATGCTTCATTTGCAATTTCGGTCACCCTCATTAGCCTCCCTTGTACAAACTAGGGAGTTGGTGTAGATGTACCCTCTATGAGGGAAAGACAGTAATGGAAAATGTAGAAATGACAAACAGGCTTCATTTCAGTTTCCATCAGTGTTTCCTCTAAGGTGTGTGCTTGTAGGTGCGTCAAGAATTTGAGGCCCGCCCACCTCCTCAGAAGAGCCACGCAGTGGCTGCTCAGCTGTTCCAGGCTGAGGCCACGTGGTGGGTGGCAGCCACCACTCGGCCCTAGCTCTAGCTTCAGCCCCTTTCCCAAGGCTGGGGCTGCGGGCAGCTCTGGCTGGGGCCAGAGCTGGAGCCGCATTGTGGGTGGCTGTCGGCTACTCCAGTGGCCCTGGCCAGGGTCAGAGCTGGAGCCACGTCGTGAGTGGGCAGCTCACAGCTGCTCTGGTGGCCCCAACCAGGGCCAGAGCTGAAGCTGCATTACAGGCAGCCAGCAGCTGTTCCAG